TGCCGGCGGCTCCTCCCTCGCAAGTGTCACTTCCCATTAAGATGGAGACGAATTCGATTGCTCGGCGTTCTAGTGTGGTAGAACGTTGAGCAATTGTTTCCTCTCTACTCACCCTCAACCACAAGCTGAACCCTGAACCTACTGGCTGTCTCCCTGGACTCACAGCCAGCTCCCTTATGCTACAACTCGCCTGCCTCAGATCCGGAGTCCACTAATCCATCAATCCATCCTGGCTACAGCTCACCTGCCTCAGATCCTTTGCTCACTATGCAGCTAAACTCCTAACAGCAAGTACCTGTCACCTACGTGCAACTTATCTATATTACTGCCTGCCATTACGCTGTATGCTACAGCACTCATAGCTAGGACTTGTCTTGTGAGAAATACATGGTTACTATAGAAGGGGGGCACTATAATTGTATTTCCAAATAACCTGCATACCATTCCACTAATAATCAGGTGTGACAGCTACTGATCCCATCACGCTCCAACAGTATCGTGGGCAGTGCGACCAACCTAACCCCTCCTTATCGTAGCCACTATTGATACAGAGGATCGCGCTGCTGCAAAGATTACTGTCAGTGATCTGAACAGCGGCGTGTTCGTCTTCAGCCGTCAGTGAAAGCCAGCAGAGGATCCCATAGCGACCCAGGCGGCCCACACGGCATCTGGCCGGGCCCCACTGTGCCCCGGGCCCCATAGCGGCCACCTGGGTCGCTATAGTGATTGTTACGCCACTGGAACTGTTCTGTCCAAATAGTATTACACATTTACCAGAAATGGAGTTGTTCTCCTTTATTAGGAGCTTCCACTGAAGTGTATAGACCAGGGGCATGCAACCTTGGCCGGCTATTGTGGAACTACAAGTCCCATGAGACATTGCAAGCCTCTGACAGCCACAGGCATGGCACGGTGTACGATCGCGTACTCCCATAGGGAAGAACAGGCTGCTGTGTGCAATCACATGCAGCACCTGTCCTTCCCGGGAACGGCCCGATACGGCTGTGCACGCTTCACGGATCTGTACCGGCCGACACTTAGCTGTGTGAATGAGGCCTTAATGTCACTATTCAACCCATTTTCTGCCGCTGTTCTTCAGACAAGAGTGCTGCTATATGCTGGGACAGGATTGCATTGTTGGTAACTGCATATAAACCCATTAAACCGCTTATTTCCATATCATTGTAATGGTCAATATTAATGTAAGCGTGTCTGAACTGACAATGTCAGAGAGAAAAAGGAAGTATTTCCAGCACACAGAGGCAGTTGCACAATGGCTGTAAATAAATCACTTCAATCACAAATGTATTTCCACTTTTGCAATCAAATTTGAGAACACCGCTCTCTCTCTGTTTGTTGTGTGTTCCTATTCACGCAGCATACCTAAAAATAATATTTCTTGCCTTTTAGATGTTTCTTTGGGCAAACAGCAAACAGCAATCCGTGCGATAAATCTCCTAGGTGTGAACCTAGCCCCAGGCGATCCGTGACCACGCAGCAATCGAGCACAATACCACGTGGATTGCTGTGCGGTCACCACCGCCGATCACGCTGGCGGTGCCATTATTTACTAATGGCACCAGTCGCGCTGGGCGGATCGTGCGGTTTTCTAAAACAGCCGCGCGTCGCGAAAAAAATTGCCCAGGTCGGATCGTCCAGGTCTGCACCAGCATTCAGCGTGTCCCAAGACAAAGCAGGGACACACTGAACTTCCTCTCATTAACATTCAATGCTTCTGGATATTTAACCCTTTGTTAGGACGGACATGTTCACATCTACCTTACAACTGATAATGAGATCTGCCAGCATAGAACAGACGAGGTCTATTATGATGAACGTCAACTCCCCAGCTCCCCTTACATTATAGAGGAAAATCCCATTTTGGAGTTTTCAGAAAAGAGCAAGTATAATGGAAGCGGCACATTTTTAAATAAGCTATGCAACAAATACCAAGCAGGATGTGTCCCAAATCACAAAACCATCAAACATCACACGTCTCAGATATACGCTTTAAAGACTGTAACCATAGAACACAAGTGTCCTTTTAGAATGGTCCATCCAAGACTATATATTAGGGATCCACCGATACCGGTATTTCGGTATCGTGTACCGATATTTTTTTCCCGATACTCGGTGATACTGAATACCGATACCGGAAGTCCCCTTAAAGAAGCCAGGCGGCGTGTAAAGACTCGCCACCCGGCTTCCCGATCGTCACTATGTGACGAGAAAGCATGGAGCCGGCTTTCTGGCCAATCAGGAAGCCGGGCGCCATGTAATGACGCGGCGCCCAGCTTCCTGATTGGCCGGGAAGCCGGCTCCATGCACCCTCGTACGAGTACTCACCCAAATACACAGCATCGGCACCGATACTAGTATCGGTATCAGTGGATCCCTACTATATATTTCAGGGGATAGGCAAACTCAGAATATCCGAATTGAGCTAGCAGCTAACTGGCCGCTGGCTCCATTTGGCCGAGAGTTTTCCAGCCGGCCCCTTCAATCAGCTGATAGAGGGATGCCGGGTGAAAGGCTGACAGCAGCGGCACCCACGCAGCAAATTTCGTCCAGTCCTTGATTAAAATTTGAAGCGTGTATACCCAGCTTAAAGCAGGGGTAGGCAAACCCCAGCCCTCTAGCTGCTGCGGAACTACAAATCTCATGAGGCATTGCAAGACCCCGATAGCCACAGAAATGACTCCTAGAGGCAGAAGCATGATAGGATCTGTAGTTTCACCACAGATGGAGGCCTTGAATTTGCCTACCCCTGGGAATTACCCATCCCTATACATACTCTGCATTGTATTTGCCTTTTCTACAATGCTGTCAGTCATTTCAGGCTGGGAAAGGCTACATTCAAATTGCATGCAGAACACTCTGTGACTGTACTTTTTATAAATATAGATCTATATTAGAATCATTGCCTACTTGTTTTCTCATTCCTCGTGAAGAAAGTGTGCATGTTCCCATAAGAAGGAAGCATACGTCGGGCGACACTTACATTCTCTGAATTATAGATGTCAATCACGTGGACGCCGGGTCTTTTAGAGCTGCACTCAATGTTTTTAATGATATAATTATGTGCAATCGCTCTGCTACTCCGCCGTTCTATGGAGAGTAAAGTGCAATTATAGAAATGCTTCTTTTTTCAGAACGTGGATGATAGAAACTGAGAAGCAACCAGGACAGGAAGAGGCAACAAACAACCGGCACGCCTGTCCCCTGGGCCGGGAGGGACCAACACCAGACCGCATGGGGTCTTCCCAGGTTTATTGCCCAATGGCAGCCAAACCCTTCCTGGGAATCCAGCTTCATTACACATAAGTCAATGGATCGGGATAAAGGAGCATTTTCCTAGAAACATTCATATGGGAGATCTCATCAGAACATTGATAATGTCATGTGTGTCTTGTGATCATCCTCTCCCTGCTTCCTGCATCACTGAATGCATCAAAACAGCGATGGACAACTCTGGCCCTCCAGCTGTGCTTTAACTACAAATCCCATAATCTCTTCTGGCTTTGGCAGTCATACTGTCAGCCTTGCAATTAGGGTTGCCACCTGTCCAGAATTCACCCGGACAGTCCAGGTTTTGAATGCCCTGTCCAGGTTTCATTGCAGCAGAAACCCGGACATAAGATATCAGGCAGACAGGGGCAACCAAAATTAAGATGGGGCTACTGGCCCCCCCACTGAAAATAGTCTCAACTGTGCTATTTACATATGAATAAGCCACCACTCATTCCCCCCCAAAAATGTCCGCGCGTCGCTAGAGGTTCGGGTTTCGCTTGAAGAAAAGGTGGCAACTCTACTTGCAATGCCTTATGGGACTTGTAGTTTCAACAACAACTGGAGGGCCAGAGTTGCCCACCCCTGCCTTAAAACTTAACATTACCTTATCTGTAGGTATCTGTCATTTATTCCCTCCTCCTTGTCAGTCCTCCTGCGCACCAACCCTGAACAACCTGATATCACATACATAAAAGCTTGCCATACATGTATAGCTTTCTACCGCTCAGGCCTGCTGGAACCACGCGGCTCAAAGCTTGTCATGCTGGGTGGTTTCCGGCAGGGCCCCCTAAAGTTAGCCTTTTACAGGAATGCTGGCCATACACGCAAAGCTGGCCATACATACAATAGTCCTGCTGACTAGTGTGTGTCCCAGTTGGCACCACAGTATTGGGCAAAAGTACATTTTTCAATCAACCTTTCTCGAAGGTCTGAAAAATCTCAACCGGGCAGTGACTGCAGTTAATCAGCTCTAGACACTGTTTGGGTATTCTAACAGCAGCACACCCGCCACTGTCAGAATAGGTTACCACATTCACGTTGATAGTATGGATTGAGGAATCAAGCATTTTCCTCGGAATGAGCAAGGAAAACGTTGAGTGTACGGCCGGCCAGTTTTACAGTATTTCCTTCATCCTCTGTGAAGTGTACTTTTATCAACAGTCAATGAATATTCACTACTCCTGAAAGACCGAAGCCTCCGGCCCTTTAATCCTGTATGGCCACTTCATTCACTGATAACATTCACATTCAAAGGACAAGGTAAACAAAATCTGCAGCCTGAACAATGCCCAGGATTCACCTGAAGAGGCTACAGAGCCCACCCAGCCAGCTATCCTCCCGATAGCCGTCTACGGCCTTTCAACAAGATAACAAAAGATACGAGACTAAGAGCCGCTCCCGGATTCTCCGTCACAGCAGCTGAACTACAATCAAATCAAAGCGAAATGACGACAGGTCCTCTTACCTTGACCCACCAACATGCCAGGCTCCAGGGATCTGGGCACCGAGAAATGGTATTCCTTATCAGCAAAATCATAGCGGCAGATCTCCCAATTTGCCAATGATCCCGTAATCTGACGCAGGGAAAGAGTAAGAAAACATTGGTTGGTGTACAAAAGAAATCTTTGATCATTAGACATACATGGGAGTATCTAACAAGACATGTGGAGTATAACGAGCCACATATAGGCTGGAGATACACAGATGGAATTTCAGCTGAATCAGGACAAAATTGGGTCTGTAAGTGGCCCAACAACCACCCGGTTCCACCAAGGTCGATTTTTCATTCAACTTTATTAAAGGAGCGGGGAGGAAAATTGTCATCCAAACAGTGACTGCAGCCAATCAGCTCGGAAATGGTGACATGGGCGGGCACTGGATGTCAGAATACTATAGCCGGCTGGGCTCATCCTCATACAATGGGCACGAGAAAAAAATACCCTCGCAGTGCCCACCCCAAGTGCAAGGGTTAAATGTTTGTTAACTCTAGGAGTAGAGTAATAAGGAGTAATACATATCTCATCCCCAGGAGTAATACATACAGTATCTCATCCCCAGGAGTAATACATATCTCATCCCCAGGAGTAATACATACAGTATCTCATCCCCAGGAGTAATACATATCTCATCCCCAGGAGTAATACATACAGTATCTCATCCCCAGGAGTAATACATATCTCATCCCCAGGAGTAATACATACAGTATCTCATCCCCAGGAGTAATACATATCTCATCCCCAGGAGTAATACATACAGTATCTCATCCCCAGGAGTAATACATATCTCATCCACTGCTCCGGCAGGCTCCCTCCATCTGTGTGACCGGTCCCCAGCAGCCTCCTTTCTAAGGTGCTCCGGGACGCAGTCGCAGGCTTTCCGCCTCACATCCAATGCAGGACTAATAGTCCTGCATTGTACCTGATGACGCCAAGGGATTGCCCACAATCAGGAGGGTAGTGAGAAGTACGTAAGTTATCTGGTTTCTTTCCACTAGATCAAAGGTGGTCAAATTAATATGGAATTCAGGAGCCAATCTGTCCAATCTAGGAGCCAACAGGATTTTTTTAGGAGCCCGCTCCATTGGCAACAACTAGGGAAAACCTCAAAAGCTAGGCGCCAGCTGGAATTTTTAAGGAGCATTGGCGACCCAGCTCCTGGGATTTGTCCAGCCTGGTGATGTCAATGATCTTGATGTTGTTTCCCGGCCCCCTGACTGACATTTGGTGTAGGGCTTGGTGCCACTGCAAGGGGAACATATAAAGGTTTTGTAGATATTTTCTTTCTTTCTGATGGTTAAAACAAAAAAGGATTTTTTAATTATTATTTCTCTTTTTTTCAGTCACACAATAAAGGAAATACTGCCTATCAATACTATGTATTAAACTCCTGAGCCAGCAAAGGGTTTTCATGTCTTTCCTTTATGTCTCTGCTTCTCTAATGATGAAAGCCCTTTGCTTACAGAACTCAATAGCTCAAGCTGAAATGAGCCAGAGCAGTGTCTCGTAATGAGTTTTTTGTCATTCTGTTATGAACTAATAGTTATGATAAAAGAATTTGCAACCTTGGACCTTTTGTTTGGTGCTCTAATTATACTTTCTACATGTGGATCCTCAACTATTTCTTTAAAGGGGTGCTCTGTTTTAATCTGACTGACTGTTCTCGTTTTCACTTGGTTGGGACCATTGTAATGAGTGACGGCTCAGACTCATTCAGGCATGTGTACATTTCAGTTTTAGCTATTAAGTTTGGCTCAGTATGAGGTTTCAATGAGACAAACCTAGCTGCAAAGCAGGCAGCTTGTGCTGTGCTGCTTCTTTAGCTAATCCGCAGTGCTCTGGGAATCATGAATTAGAATTGTATAAGGAAAACAGAGATTGCAATGCTTACATGTAGTAAACAAGGCGCTATAAGACAACAGTTAAAAAAATGTAAGACTTTAAAAGAAAACTAAAAAAAATGACCTAGAACCAATGATAGCCATTGGATCACATAGGGCCATATACAATACACAATCTGGAGCCTTTTCTGATCACCACCTAAAAAATGCTGCCCAGACCAGTGACTTCAAAAGTAATGAGGGCTGGAATGTGTATATTGATCTCGGCACCTCACGGCATTCCCTACAATAAGGCCAAGGACCGTGAAGAACATTCGCTTTCACTTCTGATAGATGTATCCCTTCCGGGAAAGAGACCTGAACCTTCACCACACCAGTTTATTGTCAAAGGCAGCAACAGAGAAAATTAGGGAATTTCCGATTATGTACTTCGAATTGTGGTAATGACATGGCGTCACAGCTCCATATTGCAAACAAGACCTGAAAATTGATCTCAATCAACTGCTAATTGTGATGAAACCAGAGGATAGAGATGGCAGGAAGGCTGCCTGAGACGTGCATAATAACAACATCCTGTGCCTTACATATCCACCTTTTTTTGAATAAGTTCAAACTGAGTAAAATAAAAGATTCTGATTGGTTGCTTATCACCCACTGGCCTGTTCCCGGGATTGCCCAACATCTGGAACAAACAGCCGGCTAGTTACACAGCTGATACAACTTTCACCGATACTTCCTACAATGTAAATACCTTTCTTCACATATAAGGCCCCATGAGCCAATATAGAAATCAGACTTTTTAGTCCTATCACTATTATATGGTAACTGGCAGAGTTTAGGGATTCTATGATGTTTGTAAACTTCAATTTTCATTTGGAATGAACATTTCAGGTTTTAAAGAAAAAGAATAAAAAAGCAAAACAAAAGAAAGTATATATACATACAAAGTGTATGTATATATATATACATATAT